CATAGTGGACTTTACATTGGACTTTGGGATGTCTTGTTTGTATCGATATACATTTTATTTTATTTTGTACAATGTGTTTTGAATATTTTTTTCTCAAAATTGAACAACATGAACTTTTTGGATAAGTTGTTTCCAACTGGTCTCGAAATTAAGTCAAAGAAAAAGAAGAATTAACCAAAACCTTTAGTACATACAAAATTCAAAAAAGCGAGACGTCCCACCTTAATAATATAATAATATACCTCTTTCTAACACATTTACATGCACCCTTTCCGTGTCGGTACCTTTCAAATATTGTGATAAAGACCTCAGGAAGTAATATTATTCTTGGTCGTCATCTCGAAAAACAAAAATTACTCTAAAAAAAAAATGAAATTTTTGAAAGCGAAATTTTTTGCACGGTTGTTCTTTGCTTTCCCCTCCCTCCGATGGTCCGTCATTTAGATTTTTGTCCTTCAAAAATGGCTTGTGTGATGTAAGGAAAATATTTCCAAGCACCACCCTGCACTGCGCTTAATTTTCAATTTTTTTATAATCACGTCGTTACGCGTAAGATTACATTTTTAACCCATTTCGAAGCACGTAAGGTTGCATTTACAAGTAGTTTTAGCTGGTTTTTTAATGTAAAAAAAAAATAAAATATTCACCTAGGGACTGCCAGCTTTAAAATGTCGTTGGATTAAAATAATAATCCAAAACTGAAACACACTGGTACAGTCCCAAACTTGAAAGGTGGAAGTTGAATCGAGTCGTCGTGTCGGTAATGCAGAGTTCTGTTAATTTTCTAGAAATACTTCACGCGCGCTTGTGAGTTTTTAGTCGGATAGGAAGATTTTATTATATTTAATACAACAGGACGTCCCTATAGGTGGTTACTCGATAATTGAATTTGATTAACCATTTTGAGAGATATATGGCTTTTGATTAGTCCACAAAAAAACTCTGGGCCTCGAAAATATGTTGTATGTATGTGTAGGAGGTGTCAGTTGCACTGCGACCAAGGTTGATTTTTTGAACGGAGCTTCTTTATCGCACCAATTTACAAAATATTGAGTCAAAGTACAGGGTGGCCCAAATTCGAGCCTCATCATTGGGATCTCGGTAACCATAAGAGATACGGGGTCGGTTAAATTATGGCAAAGTTGCGCAATTTTGTGACCAATAGAATGCCGTTTTGAAACTAGAAAGATTCCGAATAGTTCCGGAGATATTCGAAAAAAACCGAAATTTTGTAAAATCGTTTTTATTTTTTCCCGGGCTTATTTGAAAAGCAATTTCAAAATAAATTTCACTTCGTCATTGTCACTTTTTCCCCTTTAGAAGATGGTGCTACTAAATTTAAAATTCGACGTTTCGTCTTCAGGCGGCCATCCTCAACTTACGGTTTTTAAATACAGATCTTGATTTTTTATTTGGTATTTTGTCATCTTTGGGCATCCTAAAAACGATACTGTTTATAATTTTTCAATAACACAGCAAAAAAAGCAGGTCCGTATTTAAAAAAAATAAAATGATGATGATGATTCCAGAGGAACAAAACGTTGGATTTCAAATTAAATTCCGCCATCTTGTAGAGAAGAAAAAGTGACAATGGGAATGTGAAATTAGTTTTTCAAAATCTCTTTAAATGGAACCAGGAAAAAATTTAAGAAAAACGAGAAATTCATGTTTTTTTCGTATAGTTTAAATTTTTTCCTGATTTTGTTTAAAAATATTGTGAAAAACTAATTTTACATTTCTATCGTCACTTTTTCTTCTCTACAAGATTACGGTATTAAATTTAAAATCCACGTTTTTTTTTAAATACGGACCTGCTTTTTTTACTGTGTTATTGAAAAATCATAAACAGTATCCATTTTAGGATGCCCAAAGATGACAAAATCGCAAATAAAAAATCCAGGTCCAGATTTAAAAAAAAGAAGTTGAGGATGGCTGCCTGAGGACGAAACGTCGAATTTTAAATTTAGTAGCACCATCTTCTAAAGGGAAAAAAGTTATAATGATGAAGTGACATTTATTTTAAAATTGCTTTTCAAATAAGCCCGGAAAAAATTAAAAACAATTTTGCAAAATTTCGGTTTTTTTCCTAATATCTCCGGAAGTATTCGGAATCATTCTAGTTTCAAAACGGCATTCTATTGGTCATAAAATTGCGCAACTTTGCCGTAATTTAACCGACCTCGTATCTTTTACGGTTACCGAGATTCCAATGATGAGACTCGAATTTGGGCCACCCTGTACATAGTATCAAATTTTTGTCCAAAACTGATGTGTTTGCCGGCAGTGTCGCTGAATCACTAAGTAAAAGAGAAAGACAAATATACAATTATGCTGCTCCTAATGTAACTTTTCTCGCTTGCTCTTTTATGGTGCTACTTTCAGAGCGGAGCAGCAGATTCTCATTACGGTCGGACATACTGGAAACGTTTTGTCTCTTTCTATCATGGGTATACTTTGTCTGAATATAATTTCGCAGTTGGCTAGTGAATAACAAGAACTCTAAGTACTAAAACAGCGCGAAGTAATTGCGGAGCGCTCCTGTGCTGCTCCGGAGTAACTCAAGTGGGTCACTGGAAAGCATTATTTTATCTACAATTTCTTTGCATTATGTTTGTTGTCACTCTTCTTGTATACAGGGTGAAATCTAATAAATCCTAATGAGTCAGATGAACTAGACGATCACTTAAAAAAAAAAGATTAGACGAATATGTTTTGGATACGGAGAAACTACCTGCACCTACATTAATTCCTACAAAGCAGATTTATTGTGACGAATAATTAACTTCATTTTTTATAAGTATTTTATTTAATTTTAAGATTTTGTGCTGAATAATTTTTAATATGTATCGGACATAGACATTTTAGTAAGTTTGTAACAATTTGCTAAATAGTATATTGTTTTATTAGGAGTAAAAATGATACTTTTGTGACGAGTCTTGTAAGTTTGCCTGCCGAACGCAGTGAGGCTGGCATTACAGACGAGTCACAAAAGTACTTTTTACTCCGAATAGAACACGATATTTTTTCTTCAAACTTGTCTGAATAATAAAAAAAATCTAAATTTTCTAAAATATTAATGATGTTACCGAACAATCCACCAACTAGGTGACAAAATGTCAATCTTTGTGTTGTTATGGCAAATATTCACGAGCGGAGGTAAAAAACTTTTACTTCCGCTCACGAGCGGAGGTAAGTCTTTTACTTCCGTTGTCTATGGTGACCGTCAACTGACATAAAAGTTGAACTTTAACATCATGAAATTAGTAGATAAATGTCAGGTTTTCTGACGTTTGAAGAAAAACACGTTTTTGCAACTCATTCCTGTGATTATTTTCACACACATACAAAATAACACACAAAAATAGACATTTTTGACATTTATGAACCTAAATCGTGGTGCATCACAGACAGACCTATTTCCAGTATATGATTGAATTTGTCTTTTAATGAGCTATACAAAAACTCGAAAATTTACAGGAGGTCCCATTTAAAAAAATTGAAAAGCGTAACATTTTGCGAAAGGTGGCAACTCCGCGTTTTTTAAACAAATATTTCAAATTTCAATATAGTCTGAAGAAGAACATTACTTTAGAAAAAAATATCATGCAAAAAAAGTTTTAAAATTTTTTAAGTAACTCAACAATGACTGTTTAAAATTACCCCAAAGCCTGAAGATAATCGCTAATAAGTTCGAAACGGTATATCACAGACACATGACCAGTATAATTTGGATTTGTCTTTCAGAGGGCTATGTAAAAATGTATTAAAATATTGGGTGTTTCATTAAAAAAAAAAATGAAAATTTTATTTGTCTATTCTGTATACAGGGAGTATATTTTTAGTGATACCACTATTGCTATATCCGAAACGGTAATAGCTACAAGGTCGGTTGAATTAGAAAAAAGTTGCCTTTTTTGATGCTCATTCAAGTCTTGTTTACAGTGTTGCCCAATTCCTTTTAGTTCATGAAATACAGGGTGATTTCTAAAAAATGCCCAAAACTATTTCATCAATTATTTCGAAAACTATTGATATTCGAGACAAAATCTAAATTTAAAAATTTTATAATTTTTGTTGTTCTACAACATGGCATCTTTAAATTTTGAATCTGACGTTTCGTGATCGAGCTACCATCATCAACTTTATTTTTTTAAATACGGACTTGAATTTTTTATGTCATTTTTAGAAAGGGAATAAAGGGCACTTTCTAAAAATGACTTAAAAAATCCAGGTCCGTATTTAAAAAAATGAAGTTGATGATGGTACTTCAATTACAAAACGTCAAATTCAAAATTTGAAGATGCCATGTTGTAGAGGGAAAAAATTTTTAAAACTTTCAAATTTGAATTGTGTCTCGAATATCAATAGTTTTCGAAATAATTGATGAAATAATTTCGCTCGTTTTTTGGAAATCACCCTGTATTTCATAAACTAAAAAAAATCTGGCAACACTGTAAACAGTTTTGGAATAGGCAGCAAAAAGGGCAACTTTTTTCTCATTTAACCGACCTTGCAGCTCTCACCGTTTCGGATATAGCAATGGTGGTATCACTTAAAATATACACCCTGTATAGTAAAGTGACAACAAAAAAATTGTAGATAATTTTATTAGAAACAACTTTTGTATTTAAGTGTTTTTTACAGCCCTTGTAGATTTTGAGATAAGGTATAGGCTCCTCTTAAACGGGCCACCCTGTACGTAGTCTCAATTGCAGTGCTCACAAAAATATTCCTAAAGAGACTTTAAAGTTTGTTCCAGCTATTCCTAGACCGACTCCTTGTGTATACCACAATGATGCGTTCTCCTCCATTACACCTTTGATCACTTTCCGGACTATGCAATCAGTGACCTTGATTTATTAACAGAAAGCGACTATTCATTCATCCATGATTTTCATACCCCATGAGATTGAGCACTTTTAGCAGATCAAATCGCAATAACTTGAATTCCAATTATCTCAAAAATGGTTTACAACTCAAGTCAAATTGCCAGAGTACCTCTATAGAAATGGAAAATATTCTCCATCGTGGACGTCTTGTAGAATAAAAATATGCATGCCTTTGCTCGTTTTGATCCTCGCCAAATCGACTCCTGAAATATTATGTAAAGTTTTGTAGATTTATGTAAAGTACTTCTAGGTTTGTAAAAAATAAATAAAATAAAGCGGTTATTGTAATTAATCAAAGTTTATGTGCCAACTGTGTGCCGTTCTTGATTTAGATTTTTATAGATTCTAATTATTTTTAATAATCTACACAAAAAAAATAAATCAAAAGTTAGTTATTAATTATTGAAATGTGATTTAAAAGTCGAAATTGTTGAGGGTCGAACAGGCAAACGCTTATTTACGAAAAGGCTGAAATTTATTATTAGATAATATTTTATTTGTAAAATAGAACCCTCCTCCTCGTGCCCCCTGTAAATTATTATTAATTTTTATTAAGCGGTATTATATTGTAAAAAATAATTGTGCCGCCTTCCCCCGATTGTAAAGTTTTTTAATTAGGAAAACTTCTTTCCGACTGTGAGAAATTTTGTATCATAAGACTTGACGCTGTAAATATTAATTTAAAGAAAAGAAGATCTATACTTTGTAAAAAAAAAAAAAGATGAAACAAATCGAATCTGTATAATTTGTAAAATTTTATATTTTTCTTTGTAAATAATGGTGTGAAGTATTATTTGGAATATTAAAAGAATTCACAACGGACACGCCAGGGAATGGAATTAATATAAAGAAAAAATAATCAAACCAAACAGCTTGCTAAAGAGGAAGATGTTTGTTTTGATAGTTTCTTAGTGGTACATATTTTAAAAACAAATCTAAAACTTTCGTGTAACCCCTTAGATGAATTTAACCAATGTTACTATTGACGTAGAGGAATTTTAAATGTAATTGTAGAATTTGATGGCACGATTATTATGCAAAAAAAGTATTGAATTTATAATAATATTGTGTAAAGTGTTAATTGTAATAATTGTACAGTTTTTTGTTTTTATTTTGTTTATTCATTCAAATTCCATTTTTATTAACAATTAAGCCAATATTTCAACAATAAAAAACAACTTTTTATTTTTCACAATACAGTCCTAATTGCCAATAATAATAACTATATAGGTATTTGATGTTGCATTTAAATGTTGTGTACTAATAATTAATTATGTATATTTTTTTAATTTTGGGTTTTGTCCCCATCACAATTGTTTCTGAAAAATCAAACCACACATACACACACAAGAGGACAGCGAATAGGAGCATTTTTTTTTTAACTGTTGTTTTTATTTGTTTTAGAGTGAAGTTTTTAAATGAAATTCTCACTTAGTGCACAGAGTGTTCTAAATGTAGGACCCACTGTGCACATGGCTGGGTGTTTATATGGAAAATTACCTACCATCACTATTATCTATATCAACAATAGAGATAACACTTGTAAAGTAATTTTTTATATAAATACTACCAAGTATATTAATAATTATTATTATTTAAATTTGAAGGCGATTACACACGGACGTGGATGGCTTGATACATATACGTGCATACATCAACGTGCAAACAACAACGTGCATGTCACTTTTGTACAGATGCTCGCACAAAACTGTCAGTCTTATTATTATTATTATTATTATTATTATTATTAGTTACAACAGTAAACAGTTATGACCGATGAAACTGTTGTCATAATTTCCGTGGTTCTTTTTTGGCTTTTCAAAAGGTGTATGTTTGCATTCGCATGGAAGATATTAAGAGTAGCATTATAATATGGTTTTAAAATTTTGTAGGTCTCAATAAGATCTCCTCTTAAACGCCTTTCTCGTAGAGTTGTCAATTTAAGTCTTTGTAGTCTTGTAGTATAGTCTGTGATAATTCTGGTGGTATTCTTGTTACACGTCTTTGAACTTTTTTCTAATAGCTCGATGTCCTTTACAAAGTAAGGGTTCCATATTGTTTCGCCATATTCTAGTTTTGGCCTAATATAAGTTTTATATAGTTTCAATATGGTGTCCATTGAGTGGTCTGAAAATGCTTTTTGGATGCAATAAATGAACGAGTTTGCTTTTTTCACTATCCTATGAATGTGTGGTTCCCATTTGAGGTCTGCGCTGATGATGACGCCTAAATCACTCTGTTGATCGACGTTATTTAGATTGGTTCCATTTAGTGAATAGGGTATAATTGTGTTGTTTATTCCAATACTGAGTACTGTGCACTTCTCTTCGTTTAGTTTCATGCTCCAGGTTTTTGCCCATTGCTCTATTCTATGAAGATCTTCTTGCAGCTCTTTAGACTTAGTTCTGGAGTTTGCAAACAGCTTGGCGTCATCGGCAAAAAATATTATACGTGTTTTTATTTCCATTGCTAAGTCGCTGATATAAACTGAAAAGAGCAGAGGACTAAGCACTGTACCTTGAGCTATCCCGCTGAGAGCCACATGTACGTCAGAGAGTACTCCATTTATTCTTGTTTGAAAAGTTCTTTTTTTCAAAAAGAAGGAAAGACAACCAAATAGATTACCACCAATACCATAGTGGTCTATCTTATGAAGTATTTTATTGAATGGTACTTTGTCAAATGCTTTCTCAAAATCTAAGTAGACGATGTCGGTTTGTTCATTCTTATCAAAGCTTTTTGTCCAGGTGTTCAAACAAGTTGTGAGGTTGGTAATGGTTGACTTTTTTGGAAGAAATCCATGTTGGTGATCTGTGATGGCCCCAGTTTCAAGGAGGAATGGTGTTAATTCTTTTGTGATGACCTTCTCAAAACATTTGCAAATATTGGAAGTTAAACTTATTGGTCTATAGTTGGAAGGTAGTTGTTTATCGCCCTTTTTGTAAAGTGGGGTTACAATAGCATGTGTCCATATATCTGGTAGTCTTCCACTCTCCATTATCTCATTCATGGCGTCTGCTAGAGGTTTCGTAATTGCTTCGTTGCAATTTTGAAGAAATACTACCGGAATGTTATCAGGACCGGGACCGGCGTCTTTCCTTAAGCAGTTTTTTTCAATTTCAATTTCAAGCAAGCTTTATTGTCTAAAAATGTAGATTTTCATTGACAAAGCAAGAGTAATAATAAAATAAACAAAACAATAATAAAACAAGTAACATCTCAAAGGGGTAATTTTCCTTAGACTAAAGAATATACTTAATATTAAAATTACAGGACAGTAAACTTATGGTGCATGATCAAAATTGTACAAACTCACGCTTAAATACATACATAACAAAACAACCAGTCAAAGTCAAGTCACAACACAATTTCAAAATGAATAGGTCTAGACTTATAAAATAGATAAAATACAATAACTGTAACACAAAGCTCATTTAGTCGTCATAATACTCTTTTAAACTGTAGAAAGCCTTGGTGGCTAGATATTTTTTAACATTTGACCGAAATGCTTTATAACAGGAAACGTTTTTTATATCCTGTGGTAGTTTATTAAACATTTTTTTACTCTCATAAATTATCGATTGCTTTGTTAAGGCAAATTTTGGTATTGGGAGTGGTAACGTATTATTATTACGAAGATAATAATTATTTTCCTGAACAAGACTTGCAGACTTTTTATATATAAGAGATACCGACTCAAGAATAAAAATACAGGGCACAGTCAGAATAGCCTCCTCCTTAAACAAGCCCCGACAGGTTTCCCTACAACCTACCCTGCATAAATATCGAACCGCCCTCTTTTGCAAAATAAATAAAGTGCGAATTGAAGATTGTGGCGAAAAACCCCAGAAAGCGATCCCATATCGAATATGGGACTCTATTAAAGAGTAGTAAGCATTTTTTCCTATTTTTTTGCCGAGTTCTTGAGTAACTGCTCTAATGACGTAACAGGCACAAGATATTTTTTTTGCTAGGTTGTCTATATGAGAATCAAATTTAAGTTGCTTATCAATGTAAATGCCAAGATATTTTACAGTTATTTTGTTTTCGAGGATTTGATCTTCAATTTTTATATCAGACAAGGCACATTTAAAAGTTAAAATATTGGTTTTTTGAATGTTAAAGCAAAGCTTGTTCGAGTCGCACCACTGTTTAATACTTAATAGATCTGATTCGATGGTTAGGTTTAAATTTTCAAGAGTTTTTGAGGTCCATAGTGCGTTGGCATCATCAACAAATGCTGTTAGTTTTGCAGTTACTGGAAGTTTTAGTAAATCATTTACATATATAAGAAACAGTATGGGGCCCAAGACAGAGCCCTGTGGCACGCCACAAGAAACTCTTGCCTTTTGTGATGTGTCCCCCTTCACGCTCACAGATTGGTATCTTTCGGAGAGCATCGATCCAAACCAGTTCAAAGGGATTCCCTGAATACCATAATGAGCCAGCTTACGCAACAGTATCCCGTGATCTACACAGTCGAATGCTTTCGAAAAATCACAGAACACTGCCGCGGCAACCTCCCGATCATTAAGTCCCAGATATAAGGTTTCCAAAAATGAGAAAATAGCATCATCTGTGCTTTTACCGTTCTGAAAGCCAAATTGATTTTTGTTTATAATGCCATATGTATTTAAATAGGAGAGAAGCTGTTCTTTTACTAATTTCTCAATAACCTTAGATAATATGCTCAATAGCGAGATTGGTCTATAATTAGAAGGATCAGTGCTGTCGCCCCCTTTAAAAATGGGAATGACAATCGCTGACTTAAGACAAGAAGGGAACACACCAGTTTCAAAAGACTTGTTGATGCTTGATGCCAACACATCTATAGCATTGCCAGGTAATTTTTTTAGGATTCTCAATGAAATGTTGTCTTCTCCTGTTGTATTTTGTTTTTTTATTGACCCAAATATTTTTTGGACTTGGTCCCTGTTAGTACAAATCAGGTTAAATTTTTCTGTATGCAAGATTGGTTTCAAGTATGTAAGCGGGTCAGTATTAGACATTAAATTTTCAGATAATTTTTGTGCAATAGTAGTATAGAATGTGTTCAGTTCGTGAGGATGAATATCTACTGGATTTTGAGATTTAGTTTTTTTACCTCTTAATTCATTAATGATATTCCAATATTCCCTGCTTTTATTTTCAGATCTATGAATTCTATTTTCATAATAGAGCTTTTTTGCTTCTTTTATGACCTTTCTATAAATAGTTCGGTATCTATTAAAGTATCCTATAAAAATTTGATTTGTTGTAAATTTTCGTATAGTGTGGAGTGATTTTAGATTTTTGCCAGAGATTTTAATTCCTTTAGTTATCCATAGTTTTTTGTTATTGGTTTTTATATTTCGGAGTGGAAAGCTTTTATTAAATATGTCGAATACCTTAGATTGAAATGACTTTATACAATCTACTGAAGTTAGACACTGGCTCCAGTCAATTTGGTTAGCTAAATTTTTAAATTTACTAAAGTTTTGCCGACTATATATTCTGCGTTTCACCAAAAATTTTTTTTGTTTTTCTTTAGAAGTTCGTAACTCTGCCACCAAGGCTTCATGGTCTGATAGACCAGAGGGTATTACCTGACAACTAAACTCTCCACATTCGAAGTTGCTACAAAAGTAATCTATTATTTTTGCGGAATGATTTGTAATTCTCGTCGGTTCATTTACAAATACCTTTAAATTTAATGAGTTCAATAAGTTAATCAACAATTTTGTATCACTAGAGTGCAAGTCACCATTGTCAATATTTAAATCCCCTGCGAGTACAATTTTTGACTTAATTGGGAATTTATGCAGCAAAACTTCCAGATTTTGAAGAAATACTGCTGGTTTTCCAGATGGTGGCCTGTATACACATATAATATAAATATTTAGACTTTTTACGTAAGCTATAGAAAATTCAAATTGATTTTTAATAATAAGATTATTGTGAGTGTCAATACTGATTACGCCATAATGACACAATACATTTTCATGGACAAGAATAATTGTTCCCCCATACCCTTCTTCCCTGCAATATTTCGACAAAATCCCGTAATTTGGAATGTAACACAATTCGTCCTCCGCGAGCCAATGCTCTGTCAAGAGTACAAAGGCAGGCATATTAAGATCAGCAATTAAAACCTGTAGCTCGTCAGATTTGTTACGCAATGACTGAACATTGAGCAAAAGAAATTTTATTGTAAGTATGTTTAAATCTGTTTGATTTATATTCATTTCGCTGTAATTTAAACTAAAAAAGAAGAAGAGGACGATCTGTTGCCACAACCTACCCCTAGAATAAAGTTATCAAGACGTTCCGCAATTTTCTGCTTGCCAATATTTCTTATAGCAAGTGCGTTATTAAAAATAAAATTTGATGCGCTAAGAAAAGAGTTTAAGTTAATGTATTTCTTCAAAATATCTTTTAATCCTTCGTAGATCCCGATATTCACCCTATCAATGAAGCCATTAAGTACTCTTCTATTACCCCACAGAGGTACAGACAGTACAATTAGGTTTGTGCGCAATCCAATTGTAGAAAGTAATTCGAGAGTCTGTGTCCTTATTTGATTTCCGCATCGGGCATCTTGTAATCCACCAGAAATAACAACATAATCGTTTTGTGAAAAGTCCTTTGCGAGTAAATTTAGATCTTGTACAATATTATCTAAGTTTGCATTATGCTTTGCAAAGGTAACCACATTATAATTTTCATTTTTTTGTATTTTTAAGAATTTATGGATGTCTGTCGCAGTGCTATCGCCTAGAATAAGTACTTGATGAAGGTTAGTTTTTGAGATATCCCTATCATCAATAACCCTTTCACACCTTCCGCACAATTTTTCCAGCCTTCTATGCAAATCCGTTCCCGAACTACCATGAATTATACCCTTCGCAGCGTTATTTAACCCGTAATGAGTATTAGCAGGCGGCGGCACACAGTGACCTACCTCATTTGAAATATTGTCAGTCTGTGTTGATTTTGGGACCTGAATTCTTATCAAATCCCGCACAAGTAGAGCTTCCTCTATCAGGTCGTCGTCTATTGCAGATGTTGTCGACTCCTCTTGAGAATGGTCAATTGTTGGGTTCGGGGTATGGTCGTTTACTAACTGGGGATCACTCTGAGTCTGTGTATTCACGGATAGTTCTAGTTCATTGTTTTGCTTTTCTAGAGAGTTAATTCTCTCTATTAGGGCGTGATTTTGTTTAATAAGTTCGTCAATCTGCTGTGTTTTGTTTTGAAGTTCATTTTTGTGACTTTTACTCATTTTCTCAATATCCAGTTTTACTTTATCAGTTTTGGAAAGTTTAGCTCTCAGGTCTTCGATGGTCAGGGAAAGTTGACAAGTCTTTCGATGGTAGCTTTCTTCAACTGCTTCGGCCTCATCAGTCAGTATTTGGGAGCCCCGTTCGAGTCTCTTGATGTGGTTGTCTTTTAATTTTAGGTCATATTGAAGTTGTTTTATGTCTTCATTCAAGGCTTCAATAATGTGACGATCATCCAAATCTCTTTTTTCGTGAATCATATCCTTATTAACTATTTCCAGTTTCTGTTTTTCAGTCAAATTTTCGAGGACTTTTATAATTGAGTCCTTTTCAGCAATCCCAGATTTACATGATGCACAAAAAAATGTTATATTTCTGTTTTGAATAGTTAATGGCCTCAGAAACCTTGTCACTGGTAAAAACCATTGAAGTTAATCTGTTGTTGGATTTTGTTGATTCAGGAAGTTTCGGGAGCTCTGGATCATCGTCTCTTGAGAAAACTCTGGTGAATTGTTGTGCAAATTTTTCTGCTATCGCATAATCATCCGTAATTGGAGCTCCTGTGGACAGATCTTTTAAAGTAATTTTGGAGACTGTTGTATTAAGAGTGCGTTTTACGTATTTGAAAAATCGTTTGTTGTCGTTTGACGATGCAAAGTCCCTCCGTGCTTCCCGGATTTTGTTTTTGAGTTGGTTGTTCTGAATTCTATACACGGAGTAGTTTTGTTCACTTGGAGAATTTCTGTAAATGTCCCATAGTCTTCTTTTTTTGTTGATCTCATTGAATAAATAAATATTTAACCAGGGTTTTTTTGGATTGACTTTAGATGATATTAATGGGACATATTTGGATATAGCCTGCTGTAGTATGTTAGTGAATGTCTCATATTTGTTTCCTGATGGACGTGTTGTATCAAAGTCTTGTTGGCTTAAATACAAGTTAATTTCATGCTAGTCTGCTTTCCAAAAAAATTTTTTGCTGACTTTATGGGTTGGTCTATCTCTGCATTTGAGCTGTGATTTAGCTGTGATCACAACATGGTCACTGTGGCCTATTGGTGCATCATGGTTTATATCAAAAACTAGCCTTTTGTCATTGACCAGAATGAGATCAAGTAACGATTTTTGATCATTTCTAAAGCGAGTTGGAAAGTTTACAATCTGATAAGCATTCATTAAGTGGTAATTTTCCAAGAAAAGTTGATTTGATTTGTCTGAATTTATATAAGCTCAAATTTTTCCAATTTATTTGAGGATAATTGAAGTCTCCTACGATAAATACCGGAATTTCCAGAGAATACGCCTCTGTTATGGCTGAAATCATTTCTATATCAGTTTCTTCTGTGGAGTATTCTGTTCTATAGATGCAACATAACAACAGATTTAGGTTGTCAATTCTTACATCAATCCATAAAGATTCAACACACACAACAGCCTCTGTCTTTTCTGAATAGGGTGTATCCGGCTACACTAATTAAGCTGTCGTCTAATCGATTATTGAGCCAAGTTTCCGTTATGAATATAAATGTAGGTTGGTTCTTTTGAATTGATGCTGCCTATTCTCCAGTTTTGTTTGTTAAAGACTGTACATTGCTATACCATAGGGCGACTTCAATGTTGTTTGAAATGTTTAGTTTTTTGATACATTTCTGGTGACGATAATTTTTGGTGTAGAGTTAAAATATTTTATCCTTAAGTTTTCTTCACCTTGTTCTATTCGTTTTTTGAGCTTTTCAATAATATCTTTGCATTGGCGTTAAATCAGCCTTTACATAGATCCCTTTAGAAGAATCGAGTGACTTTTTTTGTTTTAATATGTTCAATGCCTCTTGTCTACTAGAAAAAATTACCTTTACTGGTCTTATCCTGTTTGCTTCTGCTCTTCCCAGTCTAAAAGTTTTGATAGATCCTGTTGGCACACTATTGTTGATGCTATTTAGAATGCTTTTTACTTTGGTGACATCTACTTCCGATTTCTGATCTGCATTTACTTCAGTTTCTTCCAATCCGAAAATTAATATGTTTGTTGCACGTCTTTCGCGCTCTGACAGCTCCTCAAGTGTTGGTAGGATATTAGTATTTGCCTCTTTAACGGGTCTAATATTTTCCACTTTTTGTTCGAGTTTGTTTATGTTTTCTTGTAGCGACTCAAACTGCTTGGGCATTTTTGCTACGCTTGCATAGGTCTGATTTGGTCTTATTAACAGCTGTTTTCAGCTGCTCTAATTCTGATTTCATGTCTTCAACTTGTGCTTTCAAGACTGGTACAAGGTTTGTAGTTTCCACTATTTCTTTGATATTTTCTTAAATAGTTGCAACATCTTGTTCGACTTTTGGAAAAGCCTTTAGTGGTTGTATACACTTTGTACAGAAATAAGAAATAACTCGTTCTTTCAGCTCAATAAATCTGATTTCAGTTGTGGACCATTTTTCACAAATTTCACATAAAACTTTTTTACAAAGGTCATATGGGGATGCAAAGGGCAGATTTGGAAGAACTCTTTCCTTAGTGTCTTGCTACTGTTACCACAGTATTTCGAGTGTGCATACAAAATTTCTAGCAATTCCAGAATTCATTTGAGCGTCATTCTACAGTTTGCACATTCAAAAACGTGACGGTATTTTGCATACACATTGATGTTTTTGTTTGCGCGTTCATGTATGTACGTACATGTTTTCAGACATTCACGTCCTTGTGTAACCGCCTTATGACTTGGTTGTTCAAGCAACTAAGTTGTTTTTAAAAGACTTTTTCTTGACACGTTGTCAATTTGAAATCAAAAAAAAATCGCCTTAAATCATTCCAAATATCAAAAATCAATCATCCCCATCACATTTCGCCCATTTTTGTAATATAATATACCAGACATTTATTTATTTTTTTATCAATCATCATTATTCATTGTATTATTTGTAAAATTGTTGTATATATTTAATTCTTAGATAAACAAAAAACCACTAACATAAATTTAAATTATAACGACAGTTAAAAATAAATGCTCCTTTAAGCTGCCTCAGAATGCCATTTCGTTTCAAAAAACTAAACTTAAAGTTGGTGCTTTTTGTATTATATTGTAATATAATTTCGAGTTCAAATATCGTTTTTCAAATTATCGTTGCAATCATCACCGACTTTTTGTGGAGCTTTTTGAAGCCATCAGAATTATTTTTCTGAGTATCGCTTAGAAAAATAATTATTCTTATTCCTCTTACACAGACGCAGTCCATTTTGAAAAAATAAATTACACATTTTAGCTCCCCTTCCGCTAGTAGGATAATATTATTCTATATATTTGACATAGTATTAATTGAAAATTTATAATGAAACCACTTTTCACACGATTGCTTTATACTTGGACTTTATTGATTATCATCTACTTTATAATTATTTCAAATTTGGTCAATTTGAGATCAATTCTTTAAGCTAAAATTATGACAGAAAGCTCGAAAACAAAAAAGCAGCGGCGGGGAGATAAAAGCCGAAAAAAAAAAAAAAAATACGGCCACCATACTTTTTACGTTGAACGTTGAATATATATGGCAGACTGATGTAAAGATACTAAAAAAAAATGAAAAAAATTCAAGGTAATAATTGTAAATTGTAAATTCCTTTTATTTTTTATTCCTGGTTTAAATTAAATCACCTTTTTAAGAAAAAAAAGCTGTATAATACATGTGTAAAAAATATAAATCTGTAAAATGAGCCGTTGAATAACAGCAAACCATAACTGTAACTGTAATTTTAACAAATTTGTAAACTATTGTATTTTTAAATTTGAATTATTAACTATTGTTCGAAGCGGTCTCTTTATTGTTTTTGTTTTCAGTTGTTTCCGAAAGGGGAAATTGTTGAAATTTTCATGAACAAGACTCAAGTCTATGTGTCTTTGGGTTGGGATGAAACAAGCTCTTCTCCTTTCTACAGATATACCCTTTTTATTTCATATGAATATGAAGCACTTGAAATTTCTTTTGGAAATTCTATTTTAATTATTTGTTTTAGCAGTATGGTTCAGTACAGTATTTTTGACCCAACAATATTTCAAAAGTTCTCTCATGAAAATTTTAATAAAGTCCCCTCGTCTTTTTCTCTTGTGTTAAGGGGCACCTTTTTCCCAAAGAAGGTCGCAAACCCTGCTTATTTTAGGGTAGCTGGATGGGGATCACTTATTTTCACACAAATATGGCTCTCTGCGAATCTACGGCTGTATATTATAACCACGCAATCGAGAAGTTTTCGTTCGGCACTTTGATTACGGTTGAGGTTTGAATTCTGAAGGGCTTTCGAACTGTGGGGGAGAATTTTCCGATTGGGTTTAATTGAGCGGCCTTGCACGTAAAACTTCCTGATTGCCAAAATTATTTATTATATTGCGATATAAATGTATCTGTTCCATGAGTGTAAATTTAGTTATATTGATGCATGGTAGTTTATTCATAGGGTATCAATCAATATGTATGATAATGTATTTCGATTTTATTATTTTTTACCACGGTAGTATATAATTAATAAAATAACTAAAAATAATTAAAAATATTTTCCTGTTTGTGTTTTATTTCAATCATTAATTTAAAACCTCCTATACTGGCTCTCAGTAGAGTTTTATTTCCATCAGATGAACTTTTTTATCTACAGACAGGACCAGGCAGGCTACTAGACACATGCCAGTTGACTGATACCCACACAGAACACGTCATATCCTCACGAACGGGCGTAAAAGTGCACTTTTACGCCTGCATTTTAAAGTGTGAAGTAGTACTTTTACGCCCTAGGGCGCCTTTTATGCCCGCGGGTCTGAAAGTTCCAAAAATAAACAAAAATTCGTCATTTTTTTTAAAACTTTTTGTATTTCTATTGCTTAGTCCAAAAAATACCAACTTTTTTCAACAAAAGAAGCTTTATTTCAATTAATAAGAATAATAAAATAAGCAATAATGGTAAAATTCAATCTACTTTGAAATTGAAAATACAATTTTTACAGTTTTTAACTTTTGAAACCGGCCCTTTTCCACAGAAATACAAAAAAGAACTGTTGCCTTCAACATTGAGTAAAACCTCCATAGGGTGGATGGCTTATTTTTTTTTGCATTTTTCATATTAATGTATATGTCAGGCCAGGAGAGTTTCTTCTACAAAGTACTGCTGCTCATTTACACTATGTTGGGCACATTAAAAAATAAAGTCCTCATTATGTTTTTTCATAGAGTCTTTTGAACTTTGAAGGTATACATGCATGTTTCTTGGTCTCTTCAACTGCCTCAAGAATAAACTTGGGCATGCTATTTTGCTGTATTTTCAGACGCACTACCATCATAAGAATACCATACACGTACACTACACAGCACATAATTATTTGTTTGTATTGTTCTGGGTTGCTATAATAGTTACGTGATACTTTTGTCAACAACTGCTTCCTTGATCTAAATTTGACAAAAACCTAGGACCTATTGCGGTAAAGATGAAAATTTGAAATATTTTTGATTCATTTCATTACAAAATTGAAAATATATAATTTTTTAAATAATGTCATGAAACGTCTCTGCTTCGCTGTGTAGCTCGACTATTCACCCTGAAAAGCAGAACGGGAAGGAAGGAGTAACAGGGAAACACCAAAACAGTTTTAAATAGCTAATATATATTGTTACAGAACGGAGATTTCGGAAACATGAATATTTAGTTATTACCACATCATCGTCATCTGGGACCAGATAACGTCCCTTCGGGTGGTGAGGCTCAAAAAAGGGCGGACAGTCAAACGTCGGGTATACCCCTGCAAAGCTAAACAACCAAACCAGCCCTACAGGAAAATCTAGAAAGCCTTTTCACTGTAGGTCAAAGCCTGGGGCGTCAGGGAGTATCTGCCCTGATAGAGATACGATAGCGTATTAACTTTATCAGTCCAGATAGTTCCCCAACTTTGAGTCGTCTCTTAACACCTACTGATTGCAGCGAAGCGCTGAGACACGACTAATTTGCCATAGTGTGGCCCAGGCTTTTATATCCAATATTTGCTGACTATGATTAGGATAATTTGTGTTTTCTTGCTTAGTTGCAGTTATTTATTATAACCCGTGGTTCAGTGTTTTGAATTTGGTTATAGCCCGTGGTCCCATGTAGGGTTGACAATAATATATTAAACTTACATATCAAAGTCAAGCTCCTCCAAGGCGTCCATGTCCAGGTTTAGACCGCCTTCAACGCCCTCGGCCTGGGACTCCTGAGTTGATGTTGAATGTTCGTTCACACTCATTATAAATTGTGGGTCTGGTTGAGATAAGGTAACTTCTCAAAAATGATTTTTTTTGAAAAATTTTAGTTGTATTCGATTCGTTTTTTCATTTTCTTTCCAAAAAAGTGAGGATTATTGGGATTTAACAAAATAATTTTATTATATTTATATCAAATGTGCCTAAATTCTATGCAATAATAATTATGTATTTCTAATAATGGAAATAAAGCCGACCGATGGCAAGGTTGCCAGATGATTTTCAGTGTGTAGTAGTGTGTACAACCCTTATTGTTTTCGCAGTGCTGCCAGATCTTACATTTTTCATGAACTAGTAGTAAAAACTAATGATACAATTTTATAATTAAATATTAAAATTTATTGAATTCAAATAATTTTGTTGTCAACCAGTACACTCATAACCAGTAATAAACGAACTGTGTCAGAACTAACCAATAATATGCAAACTACGTACTAGTCCTTGTACGTTAATATGTAACTGACCCATCTACCTAATGCGTGCTAGTCCTTGTATGGTAATACTGGATTCAAAAAACGAAACGCGCTAGCGCGCTTTAATAGGCCTATTCGGGTTTGGAAAAAGGACGGTTCTAGAACGGTTCAAAACAATCGTCCAGTTTATTGATCAACAAAATAACAACGACTCGACTATCACAAATTTCAATAATAAACTGTGCGATTCTTCTGGACCGTTCTAGAACCGTACTTTTTCCAAACCCGAATAGGCCTATTAATAACCAGTACACTTGACCAGTAATAAACGAAACCAACCAGAAATAGGCAAACTAACCCAAACTAACCCGTCCACCTAATGCGTACTAGTCCTTGTATGTTAATACTGGATTCAAAAAACAAACCGCGCAAGCGCGCTTTATTAATAACCAGTGCACTTATAACCAGTAATAAACGAAACTAAC